AAGTAAATAAAGTAATACTACTACTAATACTAACTTACTTTATTACTTATCTACTAACTATACTATATATATATATATATATATATATATATATATATATATATATTTGAATTTTTTTAAATACCTGTTGATCACCAAAACTGCCCAAAACCGGAACCAGCCAATTCCGATCTAACTGAGCAGTTAGCGTTTAGATCGCCCGGTTTTGCGAACAATGCTCTTTATAGACCTCATTTTTTTTCTAATTTGATTTTATCGAATCCTACATTTTGTGCATATGGTAGGGCATCTTGGTAAAATATGATCAACATGTGACAAACCTTCTTATTTTCTGGAATGCATATTCCAAAATGGTTTTTCAAAATAAGAAGGGATTGTATACAAAGATAGTATTTATCACTATTACAAGGAGGTCACACTAAGTCCTAGCCATTAGATATAAAACTGGATGCCTTGGGGTATGGTACAAAGTTTGAGAAATAGTTTTTGAACTTTGAGCCTATTTAATGACATACTTACAAGCACCCAATTTAAAATCTAATGGACGAGAGTGATTGTGACCTTCTTGCACTAAAAATAAATGGTGTGGTTTGTATAAGGTTGCAACCTTAAAAAATATAATTACGGTGCACCTCTAAATTTTATCATAAATGTAATTTTGATATAAAAAATTCTTAGGATGACTTGAGAATCTATTTTTCATCTCTACTTAAAAAACTTTAAACTCTAAAAATAGTTCAAATCAAGTAGATATATAAACACATGAAAATCTTGAAAATTGACGGTTCAAATAATGTGTTGTAAGATACACTATTTCGTGAACTTGAAATCTTTTTCTTTTTATATTCATACTTCTTGATATCGAAATGATCAATTAGAAGGTTTTCCATCATCCAAACAACCTTTTATGATAGATTTTTGAGATGCACCTTTAACTCCACTTTATGTAAACTTTTTCCATTATTTTCCCAAATAAGAATTGGTTTAAAGTTGCAACCTTATGTAAACTTTTTCCATTACTTTCCCAAATGAGAATCGGTTCCCATTTGGTAAGGGCCGGAGTCGAATCTCCAGGACTCATTTAGGCGAGTCCAAATAAGATGGGTCATGTTTAACAAATAAAAAAAAAATATTGAAAAACTAGGGCTTGGTGCCATAGTTTTCAGGTCTAGACTTGCCATCCCTCCAAATTTGTCCAACTCACCGGGGTGGAAACGAGTTGGGGTGGGGTTCGGCATTGGACCTGGATCCGAAAAAATTATATGGGATCCAGAACCCACCGAACCCATACCCCACTAAAAAATTAAAAATATCTATGTATTTAACTATGTTTCATATATTGGGACCCGAAAAATATTACTAGACCCAGATGTATTTAACTATGTTTCATATATTGGGACCCGAAAAATATTACCAGACCCAGACGCAAATTGGGGCTACCCAATTTACCAGACCCGGGTCCATTGCCACCCTTACCGGCCCAGCAAAGTCCGGAGTTGGAGAGGCAATCTTCGAAATACTGTTTTCCAAAAGAAAAAAAAAAGAAAAAACGAAGATAAAAAGTTATACCGTAGAACATTGGATAACGACTGCTGAAACTCAAGCAATTAGACATCAACAACTTCATTATTCTGTAGGTCTGTGCCAGTATCAGCCCTAGCACATGCCCACAAGTCAAACATTACATAAAAACATAACCAAGGGGGGTATGGAGAGGGTGAGAGCACCAGCTGCACTGGTTTCGTGAGCCAACCACAAGTGAAGCAAGGTGCTTCCACAGAGCCCTCCTCCTTGTTCATGGTAGAGAGAGAGAGAGAAGTAGGCCAAACAATGTGACACTGCAGAGCTCCTCTCATTATTCACAGCTCCTAAGATCACAGTTTCTCTTACTTCTTGCAAACAATTCCGTGCCCACCAATCCCGCTCGCGCACCGCATCCCTGCATATTCATCAGCCAAAATGTTGCCGCCGATGGCAGCCCCGCCCTCGAACCTTGCCATGGCACAATCTGCTGCGAACAGGTTCGTAGTGGCAAACTCACGGTCCCCTCCCATTATAGGCATGGCCGCACCCATCTTCACCCTGCTCTTGTACCCCTCTCTGTATGTCTGGCCCAGTACTCCACTGACCTCTTCACTCAGTGAGTAAAATTTAAACCTGAGGTCCAAATGAGCAAAGCAGTCTTCATCAGTGATTTCATAGCCATGAACTCGAGACTCCTCGGCGGTTATGGGGACAACCCTGGCTGTAATTTTGAACTTTCCCGCCACTTCTGCCACAACTTCATTGGTATCATGGGTTCGGGTCATGGTCAGGGCTGGGTCCACCTGGGCTCGCCATTCTGAGCCCTCACTGAGTGGGAGGTTCACCGGGCGACCATCAAAAATGACAGAGAGGTGGTCCGACGAACCGTCCCACTTGGCAACTTTGTGGGCTCCAATGAAAAGGTTGTGGGACCCAAAGAGGATGGCGATCGACTGGACCCAGGTGAAATCACGCTTCATGGAGGCCTTAGATTTGCCGATGAAGTGAGCGTTGATGTGGAGATCTGGGTCTGAGACGAGGCAGAAATCCTGGTTCTTCTTGCCGTGGAAGTAGAAAGCGACGCCATCACCACCGACAAAGCGAGGATCCTCACAAACAGCGCCGGGCTTGTTGCAGTCTGCGCCAAAACAATTCATGGGTCTGGCACATTACTGGGGGCAATCTTATAAAAACTGGTAAAAATATACCATGAACCCGAGAAAGACAATATACTGTCAAGCCGTCACTGTTCATAAATGGATGGACTGTAATGGAGAAAGTTTAAAGACCATGGTGTTATCTTACGTTCTTAACAGTGATGGATCATAGTATTTGTTCCAAAAAACATAGGGAAATGGATATCTAAATCAAGAATTGTGTATGCAGGAAAGGGTGGGAATAGACCAGGTGGCTCGGGCGTGGCCAAACCTAGACCTTGGCTAACATGTGTGGCAAGGCTGGGCAGATCATAGCCCAGCTCGGCCCGGGCATTTCTCGGTCCGGCTTGGTCCAATATAAAGGGAGGGTGGACTAAGCTCAGCCCATTACAACACCTAAAGTCAGCACACCACCATGAAGCACGACATGTCCCACCCCATAGTCAAATAGAGTTTAGAAAGCTAGGAATCAAAGAGGAAAACACAATCAAATCAGTCTTAATCGCTTGTCCCACCGTTTTGACCCGTTTTAATAAAGGAAAAATATCATCAGAATCATCTTGCTCCTCTGGTAATGGTAATGGGTTCAAGATTCATAATAAAATGCGATAAAGTTTTAACTGCTTATCTAACACAACCTACACCTTTTATCAGAGCTTAGGACTTACCCAATTAAACAACTTACCCAGTAAAAATAATAAAAATAACATAAAGATACCCAGTTAGGTTTTGAGTGTGGTTAAGTCCTCCAGGGCTAGGCACAAACTCCAAAAGTTTCAGAAAACCTATCCAAGAGAATGAACAGTAGCAAAAAATAAAAAAAAATTAAAAAAAAATAATAACAATAATTTAGAGACGGAGGGGAGAAAAAATGAACTTACTGCATACTGGCTTGCATGCAGCACAGTCGACCTCACAGTGGTGAGGGCACTCCGGAGGGCAGTAGTGCTCTGATTGGTAACACCGTGGGAACCACTTCACCTTGCACTTGGCTTTACGGACCTCTGCACACTGGATGCCCACCATGAAAGTAACAGCGATGACTAAAATTACCATTTTACCCTCCATCTTGAGGGAAGGTCTTGGGAGGAGTTTAAGTTGCTGAGGGATGGTGATCTGGAAGATGAATTTTTGCCCTTGAGTTGATTGATAAGATGCGGTTTGCTTAGCTATTTATAGGCCTTCATATGTGTTTTGATTGGAATGTAAGAAAAGAAAGAAATAATAATGGAGGGAGGCTCTATTGCAGAGAAGTCACATGGGGACGGCCCATTTTTTTAATGGAAATAACATTTGAAATGAACCAAACCATACCCTACCCTCAATGCAACTTGAATGCTCTTATCTAAGGGGCCCAAAATCCGAATTTCGGGTTTCCATACAAAATCCTTAAATTCGAATTTCGGTCTGAGGTTTCGGCTTTCCTCCTACTTCTTCTTCTTCTTCTTCTTATGACAATAAATGAATGACCCAAATAGATTTAAAAACAAATTTCATTTTTGTTTCTCTCTGCCAGTTTTAGGAATAGAACTGGTTTTCGGCTTTCTTTTCGTAAATAATTCGTCTGCTTGAGTCTCGATTCTCCACGAACTAGACAATGAGTTATTTTGTTTGAACACAAGGCTATAACTATTGAGTTTTGCCATTAATGAGTTGTTATTCCGAAAAATAGTAGGCTTTTTTTGGCATTTCCAATTTTTGGTGTATATTTATACAAGAAACGGGCTCTACGCCTGAGTACTCCATTAGGCACATCTGGGGCTCACTTGAATGACTTGGGTGTAGCTTACCGTACGGTGATGCCTCGAATCCAACATTTAGAATTCTTAATGTGTTAAATGTTAAATCTTTGTAATAAAGTAAGGGAATTAATAAAAGAAGGGAATGTATCTTGTAGGCCTGCAGCTTTAATGAAGCCGCACATGTATTGTCGATAAAAATGCAGTTTGGATTCTAGAAAGTTACAAAAGAAAATGATTTAATAGGGCTGCAGTCCTATCAAAATATATAAAGCCTCACCTCATAGCTCATCGAAAATTACAATTCAAACATTGAAAAACCTTTATATTGATCATCTCGGTTTGAACATTATAGCCTGAAAAAAAATTAGGATCTCAGAATCTAAAAATAATATACATTGTAACAAATTATCTAGACTTCTCCCTAAAAATTAGTGTTTACAAATATACAAGATCTGTACGTTCTTTTTCGTTTCAAATTTTATTTTCGGTGTTGGAAAATGATTTTAGAGCAATCATGGATATTTATGTAGCCAAAAGTACATTCTTGACGAGAATTTGAGGTGAGGCTTTATTTTGTCTTCATAAAGCCTAGACCTTATAAAAACTTCATCCATTACTAAATGGGTTTTTGGATCTCGAAAAGGAAGCACTTCGTATGAGGTTGAAACCTTATATTGTTGACGTAAGGTGCCCTTCAAGAATCTTCTAGAGGAGAGTGTTACGTCATTGGAGAACTCTCCAATTGATCATTACGACTTTGAGATGTATGGATATTAAGGAAAAAATAATTTACGTCCTAAAAACAGTGCACTTTAAAAAAATTATTATGACTGGTTATTTTCAATATTTTTCAAGTGCTTATAAATCTTCTCGATCTGTATTATTTTTTAAATTTTATATTTTATAACTAGGGATAAAAATAGATTTTCAAGCCATCGTAAGGTTTTCAACGCCAAAACAATATCTCCAAAGAAATTTTCGAGTTGCACTGTACTTCTACAGGATAAAGATTATACCTCATACAAACCTCAACCTTTCGAAAATATGGATCAAAAGAGGATTCCAAGCCCCTAAAATGATATGTTTAAGAACAGATTTTTTACACTATTTATTTCAAGTGTCCATAGATTTATCAAATATGTTGCTTCTTAGGCTTCAAATTCTACAAGCAGTGAGGGAAATAAACTTATGAGCCATCACAAGAATTTCCAACACTGAAACTACATCTCTTGGCAAGGTTTCACACGCAGAGTTACTAGTACCGTAAGGCTGCAGCCTCATGAAAACCTCTCCCACAGACTAAATGATTTAATTTCAAAGCATATGCTCAGCGATCACAGGATAACCGTGTTTCTCACTTCCAAAAGTCAACTTCTAAGGCCTTTTCACCATATTCACGTCTTGAATAAATTAAAACCATGACCTTAGTTTTATGTTTGTCAAATTTAAAAACCTTTGCACGTTCTTTAAGTATCGTAAACATTTGAAACCCACGTCTCGTTATTATAGTGTTAACCCCATTTTATTGTCGTGTAATTCTAGGGTGGCAGCGCGTCGGGTAGAGTACGGACGAACCCAATTGGATCCGATCCAAAAATAAAAATATATATTTAAATGTATTTAAATATTATGTTAAATATATACATGTATTATTTAAATATTACAACTAAAAATATATATTTATATTTATTTAAATATTCAATATTATTTATGTGTAATAACACTATTCGGGTTGCATCCACATGCAGATCTGGACCCGAACCCAGACCCAAATAGTATTTGGGTTTAATATTTGGACCCGGACCCAACATGCTAGGTACAATTCTTGGACCCATACCTGAACCCGTGTCGGATCCAGATGTCGGATCCCGCGTCGGGTCCAAGTCCATTGCCACCCCTAATTTACAATAGTTCATAATGGGCGGAGTTTGTCCATTAAGCTATACAACATTCTCTCACCGAAGCACACTATATGTTTAGTCTATTGGGAAAAAAGGAAAAAGATCATGTACGCCCATGTGCGTATTGCTACAATAAATGCCCAACGTCCCATATTGAATCTGGGCTGATCTGACGGTCACCACCTCATTTCGTCTTTGAATTTTAATTTTTTTTCTACAAATTCAAATCACTTAAAATTTTAGGCGTTTGTTCTTCAGAAATAAGCGAATATAATAAAAATATAAAAATAAATATTTTACATGAAATAAATTGACCAAAATACCTCCGAAAGTTTCGGAGGTAGTTTGGTTAATTTATTTTTTACAAATTATTTTTGTGATATTTTTATTAGGTGCGCCTTGATGAAAAGAATACATGTTTAAAATTTCAAGTGATTTGGATTTGTAGAAAAAAATTAGAATTAAAACACGAAATGAGGTCATGGACATCTCGTGACCATCAGATCGGCTCAGATTCAATCTGGGCCATTGGGCATATTCTTACAGGTACACACGGTGGCGTACCGCAGCTTCTTCCGGGCAAAAAACCTCCTTAAAAAGTGTTTTTTGGGTCTGAAATTTTGGATCCACCTTAGAATTAGATGCATGTTTCCAAAAGAATAAAAAAAGAATTTCAAGACTTAAATTTGACCGATGGTCTTTGTCAAGCATAAGAATTTTTCAAACACAATTATATATATCGAATTTTTGTCTATTTTTTTAGATTGATATTTATATTCAAGATGTTATTTCCCACGATTTGGTGTCCCCCAAATACTCCTAGTTAGGGTTTTAACTCAAGGAATGTATATTTCATGTATGTTTGGTAAACGCATGGAATGTTACGAGCAGTTGTCAAATGGTATATATAAGGTTGCAACCTTGATTGTAGAAGAGATGAGATTAAGGTATTCATTACCATCAATTTTAGATGGACGGTTTAGATTTAATACATCTTTCAAAACAGTATCAAAAAAATAGAATGCGTTTTAAAATAGCATCAAATCTAAACCATCTAAATAAAATAGATGGTGTAGATTACTGCAACACCGTATATGATTTTTTTCCAATGAACGATAGCTGGTAGTTCAAGAGTGGTTTTATAAATTCCCCCCTTGAAAACCACATGTACATTACTGGATGCTTTTAGGACATGTGTTACTATGTTTCATATGGAGCATAATTTATCACGTGCTCCCAAGAAGCCTAATAATCGCATAATTAAAGCCCATTGATCCTTACTATGATATGGTTTTTTAGTATAAAACGTCAACCAAAACAACCATAATTTTGAGCTCCAACACGCAATTAAACAAGCTAAAAGAGGCCACCACAATACTTAAAAGACTCTCTTACCATTCAAAGTGTCCCTCTCCCTCTCGATACATAATTGATACACCCACCTATGTTGCATGGACATGTGTGCTAGATTTTTTACATAGGTTAATATCAAGGATATACAACATTTGTTTCTGACACTTTAAAATCGCAGATATTATATTTTAACATTTTTTCTTGATATCTCAATATAAAAGTATTTAATGTCATCTAAAATCTAACATTTTCTTTGTTATAAAATAGAATACAGATGTGATGTGTCTAGAACTGATAAATATTGTGTTTGATAACCTCTCTAGATTATTAGGAATTGTGAGAACTTGTGTTTGATTGAACACGGGATTTTGGAAACGTATAGCTAAAAAAATTAGCCAAATTTAACCATTAGTAGATGTTTTTAACATGAGATGGTTATATTTGTTGAGGGGAAGTATATAATGAGACCAATGGTTTAAAAAGCGGATCGGTGACTTGGATCGAGCACCTCAAAAACCGATCCGGATCGGTAAATCGGCGATTCGGATCGGGAATCGGATGAATCGGTCAGATTAAAGCTCAAAAAAATCGAAAAAAATTATTAAAATGTTGTTTTTTAGAAATCCAATAAGAAATGAGGGTACTACATTATTAACTTTCATTGTTTTCATCAATTTATGAATATTGAGATGTTCTTTCGATGTATGAACTTATGTTAACCATTAAATTTACATCACACAAAATAAATCATAGAATTATCATGGATTAAGTGTATAATCATATATGGACTACAATAAAGAGCTGACTAAATCGATGAAAAATTGGCTACTAAAATCTCGAATTGGCGAAAAACCCTAATCCGCTAAAAAGGCCCAAATTAT